CCCACTCAACTCATCCAACAACTCTTCTATCATTGGGATTGGGAATTTATCAGGAATAGTAATCTTATTTAAAGCTCGATAATCTCCACAGAATCTCCACCCCCCATCTTTCTTCTTGGCTAAAAGTACAGGGCTGCTGTAGGGGCTATTACTATTCCTAATAATTCTTGATTGCAGCATTTCATCTATAATCTTTTCTATCACATTTTTCTGATCAAAAGTATACCTGTAAGGCCTCAGATTTGGTATGCTAGCCCCATCTTTGATTCTTATGGCATGATCACACTCCCTAGCTGGTGGAAATGTTAACTGATCAGAGAAAACTTCTGGAAATCCCGCCACAATCTCATTCCAACATCTCTCTTTAACATCATCCTGTTTATTCCCCTTCACCTGCCCTTCATAGCATAATAAAAACCCATCTCCAATATGCTACAATATGTGAACCATGGTTTTAAAAGATACCTCCATTTGATTTAAGGCTGTGTCTCCTATTAAAGTGTAAATCTGATTCACAGCACTCCATTTCAAGGTCTTGATTTTGAAATTCACCTCCATGTCACCTAATCCAGCCAACCACTCCATTCCTAACACCAAATCTGTGTCTCCCAACTCCAATATGTAAAAGGTTTGCTGAATGTCAATTCCCTGCACTTTCAATCTCATCTCAGTACATCTGCCTTAGTTAGAAATACAATCACCATTGCCAATTTGTACTTTGTATCCTTGGATAGCAGTATGGGGAATCTGACAATTATCCACCAATTTCTGGGATACAAAATTGTGTGTAGCTCCACAGTCAATGAGTATGCTGACTTCTTGTTTTCCTCCAACCCACTGTAAGTGTCCTTTCACCTTAAAAGTGTTTAAGGCAGGTATCCCCTCCTTACTCAAAACGGAAAGCTGCATTGTCTTTAACTCCAACTTAGGATTGGGAACTCCAACTTAGGATTGGGATTTTCTTCAGGCTCCAAAACTTCTTCCTCAGATTCTGATTCATCCTCAGATTGTTCAACAAGAATCATTTTATAATTCTTCATTTTGCAGATATGCCCCTTTCCCCAATCCTCTCCACATTTGAAGCACAATCCTTTCCTGCTTCTTTCCAAAAGTTCTCCTTTAGATAATCTAGGTCCATCTCTTCTGAAGTTCAGATTCTTGTTTTCCTCAGTAGTCCTACTTTCTTCTGAAGGTCTGCCCTCACTTGCAGAATTATAGGGATAATTTTTCCACTTATTGACATCCTTCCAATTTTGGCCTGAAGGCTGAAGGCTCTGTCTGCTCTGTCCCTTTTTTCTTCCTTCCTCTTTATTCTTCATAAAAAGAACTTCAGAATTTTTCTTTTCAATCAAAATGTCTGTATCCATAATTTTGGCTAAAGATCTGGCTTGATACACTTCAATTCAGCCCTTACATCCCTTCTTAATCCTTTCAGGAATACTCCTTTCAATACTTCTTCAGTCAAATGTCCCTGTGAAGCGATAGATTTCTCAAATTTATCTCTGTACTCTTGTACCGTCCCTTTCTGCTTCAAACTGAACAACGGCCCTAACGGATCCTGAACCAATTCAGGTTGAAAACGCTTTGTCAAAGCTTTCGTGAACGTTTCCCAATTTTGACGTACAGCCTGTCCTTCCCACCATTCGAACCAACTGAGGGCTTGTTCTTCCATGGCGACTACATCTACGTCTATCTTATCTTCTTCCGCAGTGCTGTTCAACCTGAAGTACCGATTCATTCTCAGTAACCATCCGCCAGCATCCTCCCCGTTGAAAATTGGCAAATCAACTTTCCTTCCACCTTGATGATGATTTTGGTGATGCCGGTGATGTTCGCGATGATGATTAGCGGCGGAATGATCGGAATGGTTATCCGAACTTTCCGGATTCCTCGCATGCCGATGGTGCGTCCTACGATGCGAAGACGTGGAGCGATGTGATTGGCTCCTCGACCGATCAGCGTTCCTGTTCTGGAGTTCAGCGATGCCAGCCTGCATTGCTGTCATCATCGCTAGCATTTCATCATACTTCGTATTTGATTCCCTCTGATTTCTTTCCATTTCTGTCATTCGTCCCTCCATTTTCCTTCTCGTTCCAACCATTCACAGAACCGACTTCTCCGATACCAATGATGGATACCTCTCTGCAGCAGGACAAACACAATACAGTAACAGGATAGAATCACACAAAGCAAGAACTCAAGCTCAGTAAAGGAAATCTTATTCAACAAGAAAACTGAAAACAGTCCCAAAGAAGGAGATAGAACTCCAACTTCCCAATCCCAGACAAAATGTCAATACAGCCTGCCTTCCTCCGCAGGAATTATTCTATTTATATCCTTCTAACAAAAGGTAGTTACTAGTAACAATAAGGCTAACTAATAACTAACTATTCCTTCTTTTACTTCTTCTAGAATATACTTGATTAAAGAACTTGTTCTTAGTGATTAGATCAGCCGGGTCCTTATCATCATGCCCCGGGGTGAATGGCTTGCTACACTTGAAGCACAACTCCTTCGTCCGCAATTCTTCTAACACTTTTGGAGGCAGCCTTGTGAATCTAGAGCGTGCTGTGGACTGTCCAGACTGCCCTGAAGTGGGCCCTGCGGCTTGTCCGGTAGCTTTTGTAAAACTGCCAGTTGGCCCCCGCATGTTGTCGCCTCTCGAGGATACAAGTGGGCCCATGCTTTGTCGTGAGTAACTGCTAGAACGCGTTCCTCCTGAATTATAGGGTTGGCTGCCCCTTCATTTTGACAGAGCATATTATCCTCGATATCTCTAGCTAACTCCATAGCGGTTTCGAGATTTTCTGGACGCAGCAATTGTAGGGAGCCTCGGATTGATACCTTCAGCCCATTCATGTAATAACCCAAATAATGATCATCGGAAAGTCCGGGAACCTGACTGGCCAATTGAACAAAAAGGGTATTATATTCTTTTACGGTTCCTAACTGTTTGACCCCGGACAGTCGTTCGAACCGATTGCCTTTGAACCGCGAATCGAATCACGCCACCAGTGCCTGTGTGAATTCCTCCCAGGTCATGCCCGGTTTCCGTGCCTTCAACCAGATCAACCAGTATAAGGCAGCTCCTTCCATGGCTACCATAGCTGCCCCCACTTTTCTTCCAGGTGGGGTTTTGATTGAGTTCGAACTGTTGTTCAGCTCTGGCCATCCCATAGTCACATAGTTCGCCGAACGCTTCGGTACGGGAACGAGGATCGAGAACGCGGTTCGATAGATCTAGCGTATCCGATTCGGAGGGGGGTATGTTCATTCCGGTACGCGTTCGGTACGTTGTACCACATGTTCGGTACACTGTATCTTATATTTTAATACTCTAATAAGATTAAATTACAGATTTCATAAGTCATAACAATTAATAAAAACAGATTTCTTAATCATAAGTCATAACATTTAACAAAATAAAAAATATTAATATTTCAGAAAACGTAGATATTCCAGAAAACATTAACACCTGGTTTGGAATAGATATTTCAGAATACGTAGATATAATTTTCTCTCAAATTATAATGGTTAGAACTTAGAAGGTAAAATAGATGAGTGGATCAGAAAATGAAGAGCCTGGTTTGGAACGAAGCGCCTGAAGGTAAAATTTTATATTTCATCTATTAATACCGGCGTCTGAAATGAAGCGCCTACCTGTACAAATATTTCAAATCTGTGCGTTTGTTTTCAAACGACGATTGACATGGGGAAACGACCTTTACAAACGCGTTCGCAGGAGAAACTGTTTGGGAATGACTGAGATTCGTTTTCGATCGAGTTTGAAAAGCCTTGGGAATCGATTTTGAACTGTGATTAATATCGTTTGGAATAGCGATTGGGGTCGACTGGACGACCGTACCGTTTAGCGTTCCAGATGGCGACCGGAACGCTTTCGTACCGCGATTGGGTACGCAGCGTTCGGTTCCCAAATCGTGGCATCCCTAGCGATTTATGTATCTATGGGCCATCCATCTGATGGGATCGTCGCCGTCAAACGAGGGCAGCAAGGTGGTTGTTATGCTACGCGACCCACTGTCGACCATGTGTGCTGATGTGGCGTCGCTGGTTGACGCCGGCTCTTTTTCCGGCGGTGTCATGGCCCTTGCGAGTGCAGTGAGTGACGCTGCAATCTCTGTCAGCTGAATAGCCTGCACATCCAATTTCCGTCCGTGCACGTTGAGCTTCTTGTTCATTAGGGCTTGCTCAGCTTCTACCTCCGTTATACGATCAGCGTTTGATCTAGTCATTCCGGCGGGACGGGGATCTGGCAGGTCGGACCAAATTGATAACACTGAAAAATAACGATCAACGGATAATCCGTTGCCCAAGCTAATTAGCTAATAACTCCCAATATTATTCATGATGATCGCATAAGCCTGCGCAGGGTATGTATATAATACTCCTCTCATTCCAGTTCTCTTAGGAAACTACTTGACTAATTAAAGTATACGTAACCTATTAGTCAAAGTCCCAGTGGGAAGCAAAGACTTGCGTACCAAGTCTAAAGCACCTGCGTACCAGGACTAAGGGAAATCCTAAAATAATTAGAAGTAATAATAAATTAAACAACATAAATGAAGCTAATTAAAATGAATAACCCAGCCCATGTATAACCTAGCCCACGGAAGTGGACTCAGGCCCGTCCCCGCCTCCCGTAGACCAGCAGGGGCTTCGGTCTTGGACCCCCTTCTTCCGGCCCATCTCCTTGCTCCTGCTGCTTTATATCAGTATAGGTCAGCTATTCTCCTTCGCTTACACTTTCCCGCTGCACTTAACATGCCTCTTCACCACCACACCACCTAGTGCTGGGGGCATTCTGTATGGTCTTCATCTGTAAATTTTTTGAAGTTCAACTCTTTGAGTTGAAGAGTCAGTGTTCTTCTTACTTGGCTACGGTTGATGTTGAAATTATCTTTAAATTTTGTCTCTTTTCCTCCTAATGAGTTTTTTTCGAAAAAAAGTAATTTAATCTTGTATTGGTGCCAAAATTGCAGCTTTTGTGCGAGTATGAACGCGATTCAGTTTGCAAATTCTTGGAGAGTCTTGAAAGCTATAGGGTGGAACACTGTTTACGTTTGTGCATAGAACATGGAATTATAGACGCGGCTGCTTTCTTGTTCGAAAGGGTCGGTGAAATTGGAAATGCACTCTCCTTCTTACTTTCCACCTTAAAAAATAAGTTCATCTTACTTGATACTGCCATCCAGAAGGAGCTACATGGTGCCGAGGTTGAGCACTTTTATAACATTTTAGAGTCTAAAGAGGTATGCTCTCTCCAAGGTACTGCCACTTACAATATCTACACTCCCTCCGTCCCTTATAACTTTTCCAAGCTTGACTGGCACTTGAAATAATAAACTAAAAACTGCGTAGTTGAGGTTTGTGTAGAGGAGAGAGAAATAATAAGAACCTCAAATTAATTGCTTAAAATAGAAAGTGGCAAATATTTTGAGACACTAGAAAAGGAAACTAGCAAAGTAATAAAGGATGGAGGGAGTATTTCTTTGATGATTTTCTAGATTTGATGTGCTTAAATGTTACAGGTCAATGACATAGTTGAAGTGGTGCACAGCTGTATTTTGCTGTGCCAGCGAAATAGTCACAGGCTTGATCCTATCGAGTCTGAATGCCTTTGGTTTCAGTTGCTTGATTCGTAAGTTCTCATCTCTAACAAAGTTATGCTCTGTAATCTTTATGTAATACAGAAGAGAGTTAGATCTTGAATATCGTATGTCGAAAAAACAAAGCATTACCCTCCCTGTGTTTGATTACAGGAGAATAAGTTATGGATAATATTTATCGTTGAAAATGTTTTCTTGGAATTAAGTTGTTCGATGTAAAATGTCATACTTATGCATAAAAAAAAGAAAAAAATCAATCTACTTCAGGAAAATGATTTCGTTTTATTTTCAAAAGGGGGACCATTCTCCCAAAAGTTCAATTGTTATGGAAAATAGTTTCCTTAAGAAAAATTTTCCTTTGCTTAACATATTTAAATCTATAAAGGAATAAAAATTATAATTTTTATTGCCAAACACACCAAAAAATCCAGAAAATATTTTGTTGGAAATAAGCAGAGCTCAGGTCATTATAAGTTGACTTATGGCTTTCTTAATATATTAGTTTTGGTACAGGTTCTGTGAACCTTTAGTGGATTCATTAAGCGATACTGTGATACATGGGGCCAAGAGTGCTGGAGTTCCAGTCAATTCAATGAGAGATCTAAACGATGAGGGGGCTTACAGAATCGAGTGCAAAGTCTCAAAGTCTTGTCAGAATGCAGTGCTGAGGAGATTGTTCTCCTTCTTCATTAAAGAGATTGTTGAGGGAATGATAGGGTATGTTCGCTTGCCGACCATAATGTCAAAGTTGCTTTCCAAAAATGCTAGCCAGGAATTTGGAGATTTTAAAATCACCATATTGGGGATGCTTGGAACCTATGATTTTGAAAGAAGAATTTTGGTTCGTTTTGTTTTCTGTTGTCATTTCCCCTTCCAATTAGTTAATTATAATATTGCACTGCAATATCAAGTTAATGCTTTTTAATAAGCAGTTGGCATTTATTTTTTCAGGATACTGCAAAATCCTTGATTGAGGATGATACATACTATACCATGAGCTTACTCAAGAGGGGGGCATCTCATGGTTATGCCCCTCGCAGCCTTACGTGCTGTGTATGCAATTTTCTTCTGTCCAGAAGTTCTTCTAGTGTTCAAATATTCAGCTGTGGTCATGCAATACATCTGCATTGTGAACTTCTTGACAGGGGTGAACCCTTGAAAGGTTCACAGGTTGAATGTACAGTTTGTATGCCTAGAAAGAATTTCCATAGGCCAAGAAGTAAACCCATGACGGAGAATGGATTAGTGAGCGAGACTTTAACATCTCAGCAAGGACATGGTACAAATGCATTATACCCATACGATCACGATTTTATTGACATCTCCTTGGGTCTCCATCCTGTTTCAAGGGTACTCTCAAATCTATTTCACGTACACATACACATACACATACAAATACACCATACATGGATGTGTATATATACATGTATATGCACATATACATACATATACATGTATGTGTACACATATTTTTTGAAGGTGACATTTTTGTAAATACTCATTCAATCCCTTATAGCTTTACCATCTTTCATTTTTGGATTGTCTAAAAAATTTGACGCTATAAGTGATTATATATGGAAAAAATGTGATTATAAGTTACTATGTGTAAGTTTTATAGTCGCTATGATGTAACATTTGAATACAATTATAGTCACTACATTATAAGTAAGGACACATTTTTGTCTACTGGTACTCTTTTGGTTATGTATTTGGAATTATTTCTTAAAAGTTCTCATATTAGTAAAGTTCTCTATGTGTATCAGTGTATGTGTGTATGTATACATACCCTTACCATACCAACTGAAGGCAAGCTCTGACGCTATAAACAATTAATTGTAACAGTTTGAGCTATTGAGTAATCTTCAGACACAGCCGAGGTTGAAACATATAGAACAAATACCCAAATTGAGGCTAGCACCACCTGCTCTTTACCACGAAAAGGTAACCAAGAGGATAGAATTCCCAATGGGAGAAAGCTCATCAAAAGTGGAAAAACCAAACAAGATGTTGAGGGACAAAAAATTGAAGGGGTCGGCTTTAAGGTTCCCCTTGAAAACAAATATGTTTGGTAAGTCGTGCTTCTAATGTATGATTTGCATTGTTCATGTGTGTGCGTGTCTAAGGCACTCATTAATTTCTACAGGTAAAGAAAAGAGAAGCGTTAACTGACAGAATGCTGGACAGCACGTCAGCACAGACTACGTAATATTTCTCGACAGCAGCACGTCCAAGTATTTCCATAGGGTTTTCAAGTTTCTTTTTTTGATAACAAACTAGACTTTCATTGACAGGTTTTTAGTTGGAATTAAATTTCTATGGGCCACTTTATTTATAAGTAATTTTATTAAATATTACTACCTCTGGGCTCTGTCCCTCTATGTTAAGTAATTTTATTAAATATTACTACCTCTGGTCTTTTCCTTGAATATTACCAAATAGGAGGGGAGGGGGGGGGGGGACATCAATGGCGCATGGTGAGGTAGTTGGTGGTGCGATGCCAATTGCAGAGACGTAAAAGGATAAAGAGAGTAACATTGAATCTCACTTTTAAAAACCAACTTGTTGAGGCTTATTCTTTCAACTTCAAAGGCCAACACCTTCCTTTGAGTTTCGTATGGTGTGTTTATTGGATTGAATATAGTGAATGACGCAAGCAATAAATGGGCAAGCAAACTTGATAATAATGAACGATTACATCGCATCCTATTATCAATTGAGGCCGATCGTCTATCTAAGCTGAGAAGGCAACGAGATGATTGCTATAGCTAGTGAGTACGAGTTGACAACCCCTAACTATGAAGCTAGGGTTTGTTATCTGCACCTTCGTACGGGTGAAGTCAACGGAAGGAAGACGTGGTTTATGCTTCCTTATTTCTTTCAAAACTATGAACACTCTCATGGATATTTGAATGACTAAACTATTTTGGGCCTGCGAGCCCATGTTTTGGACGGATGTGGCCCATGACTTACCATTGTTATTCATTGGTTTAAATGTGATGTTGTCATGTATGTTTACTTACTTAATATGGTATGAACTATGTTCATGGATGCTTTGTACAATTAAGTGAGGTTGACTTGCGGGTGACGTCACTTGATTGTGCGGCGGTTGTACACGCACTTAGATGCGGTCTGGGGTGTGACATCTAGTTTTTTCAATTCTCTGCTAAGCATGATTGCAGTGAAGAAAGCAGATGATGATAACTAAGTGAATACTTTTAATCTTGGGAAAAGTATCAAATCAACCCTCAAACTAACACCAATAGTGCAATCACTCCCTGAATTAAAAAAACCTCCAACCAAATCCTCCAAGTCAGCGATTAAGTGCAAATCACCCCTTCAATTAAAAAACTGCAATCGAATTCTCCAATTCAGTGATATAACGCAAATGACTTTCCTAAGTTGTAATTCACCGTTAAAGTTAATGTATGCCATTTATTATAGTATTGATATAATAATTTACAACATCTTAATGGCAATTTTATTAGTTTTTTGTTGATAAAAATTATATATTTCTTCAATTCTTGGATCAAACAATATTACTTTACAACATCTTAATGGTAAGTAATTTTGAACACCCAATATTTGTTGGCAACATCCGCCACTGAGTGGCGAGGCGGTGCTATGTGTAGTTCTTGAGTTTGTCGGTGGGTTTTCAACCAATCGTGGAAACACTTGAGCGTCTCAAGAGATTGTGTGTTCAACCACATTCTATAGTCAGACGTTAAAGTGAGATATATTGAGGTGGGTAAATGAATCTTATGTAGCAAAACTTTTTTAATAAATGGCACACATCAGCTTTAATCTATAAATTACCACTCAAGAAAGTCATTTGCACTATATCACCGAGTTGAAGAATTTTGGTTGTAGTTTTTTTAATTTAAGGGGTGATTTGCATTTTACCATCGACTTGGAGGATGTAGTTGAGTTTTCTTTAATTTAGGCGCAGGGGCGGATCTAGGATGTTTAGTTATTGGGGGGCACTAGTTAAGAAAAAAATGGGGAAAAATTCGAATAATAAACATGTACTTCCTGTGTTCCTTTTTTGTTGCAACGTTTCCATTTTCGCGTTTGTCAACGCAAAATTTGGACCAGTTTTGAAAATATAAAAGTGAGAGAAATTTAATGATATTTTCCAAAACTTAAATTATCAATATACTAACGAAATGTAAATATACTATCAATATATCAATATACTATCAAAAATGGGGAAAACTTAAATTATCAATATACAATGTGGTCAAAGTAGAACATGTGAATAATGTAAAATTCAAGATATTGTAAATAAAACAGAACAAAAGTAGTGTAAATTAATTTCAAGAAATGAAATAATCCTATATTAAAAAATAAAAACATAATGTAGCGCATATTTAGTACAACCGCTCTCCTCGAGTTTTCATTTTTGTAAAACGCTTTTCACAAGTTCATAACTACATTTTTAATTATATATCAAGCACGACACATCTTTTTCCACATAACAAATGATATAATCATTCAAAAACTAGTCGTTCAACTTATTTCATAAACTTTACTTGACAATGTTCATCCCGAAAAAAAAATACCTTTCAACTGTAGCAGTTGTAATTGACAAAGTCAATGATAATTTCATTAGTCAATACACTAAATAAATATTTAAAGATGGTCTTTTTGTAGTCATCGACTCAACATCATACACATACTCGTGATTTGTACATATTACAGTGAAAAACATTTTTAATTTCTTCTTAGAGAATGATCAAAATAATTTTGGATCACATCATTAAATGAAATATTTTAAAAAAAACGTAGTGTAAATTAAAAGGGACAAGGGTGTAGTGGGCTAGCCGAGTATAGAGCACATTTGATCCTTTGCTGAGTCATTTATTTTCAAACTGCACAACCATTTTTTACACTCGGCAATTGAGTCGTATAAATTAATGGGGGCACCGGTTTTTTGGATTGGGGGCACCACCTTTTTGTTAATATTATATATTTATATTAACACAAAATATTAGAACTTCATTGGGGGCATGTGCCCCCATTACTTACTTAATGAATCCGCCCCTATTTAGGCGGTGATTTGCACTATTGGTGTTAATAATTTGAGGGTTGATTTGGTACGTTTCCCTTATATCCTTCACCAAACTATAGTTAACAAATTCAGAGGTCACCACATCGCACTTCAAGTTTTGCTAAATTCATCACTAGTTCATCATGAAACTAGATTTTAACTTATTAGACATATATATCTACACATTAAAACAAGAGAAATGTTAAATTTATACTTCAACCAGAGAAGTAGTCGACATTAGCAGCCAGAGAGCTATTATTCTGAGGCCTTTACCAAAGATGATATTCTCCAAACGGATAGTATTGTAAGTTGACCTAAAATCCGTGGATGGTAGGGGTAGTGGCAGGGGAAAACCAAAGTGGAACCTTAGTCTTTCCAAACACAATAGATGAGATCTTCCGAAGTAGAACGGAGTTGGGAAGACGAGTGATGCAAATAATGAATCTCTTCACCTCGCTACACACGTCAACACCATCGGGGTCAACTTTCCTTCTCTCACTAGAACCATATACAAGGAGACGAGATAGATCTTAGGCACGGACTTTATGCAATGATCACGAGCACAGAACAAATGAGGAAGAGAAGAGGAGGGAATAGCTGAATCGGTGGCGCTTTTGATTGTCCAGAACCTTACGAAACTGGCGGTGCCAGTTCTTAGTCGGAGCTTATATGGATGGACGGACGTCTAGGGTGGTTCGTAAAGTTCTGAAGTCCTTACAGACTACAGATGAGTTGAGGTCTTTAATTTGGGGTTTAGACTATTTTTGAAATTAAAAAAAAATAGTTAAAAGAATAAAAGTGAAAATTGAAAAGTTAAGAGATGAAAGAAAAAATGTTTTGTAACATAAATGAAATGTCATAGGTAGAAGTAGTTGTAACCAGATATTTCCACATTAATGTTTGCCCTATGTATTAAAAGTATCATAGATAAATTTAATGCAGAGTATATATAATCATTGATATCTATTATATGAATAATTATTGTATATATGGAGTATTGTATATTTGGGTTAATTTAAATCACTGAAAGTAATTTATTTAGTGTATAAAATCAATGATCCCAATTGTAAAGACACTTTCATTTTGTTTTTTTCATTCGAGATCAAAGTGTTTATATTTGAATTTCTTTTTCATAATATGTAGAAGGTTTAGATCTAGCATATTCTTTACGTGATATGACTATTAGACTGATAATGAGCCCTCAAATCACACAATTTTTTTTTGAATGTTACTACTTCATGCAAAGATGACCCCTTACATCCTCACTCTTCTATTTCTTTTTCTAAACTTTTTATGCGACACACTCTTGTAAGTTTGTTTATATTAGAGACAATAGCCTAAAAGGATTAAATTAATCCCTAAATGCATATATGAGACTATGTTACTTATCTTCCAAAAATAGAATTAAAGTATACCCTATATTCATATTATACCTTTACCATAAATTAATATGATAATTGTTGAAGTTTATTCTTCCATGTCCTAAGGCTCAACACATTCTTTAGGCTGTCGTTGGGATGTTATGGTCAGGGTGAAGAGAATGTGAGTAATGAACGATAAGAAAACAAGAAAACACAATTGCTCAACTGTATTAGGATGAGGATGTTGATTACACAATAACGACCGAATGGGATCTTCGGACTAGATCGAATGCTAATACAAAAGCTATAGAGAAGTATATTGCTTGTGAGTACAAAATTGCTAACTCTTTACAATGAAATAAATGCTGATATTTATACTATGAATGAGTAGTTGAGTGGATGATCTCTCAACTATAAAATCCTCCAAATCTCTCTGCATTTAATACACTTCTCACCAATTATGAGGTTTCCCGCCAATCCTCTTGGACCATGGAGTAAGTGACTCAAGTGTGCTGGTTCGGCATTGGCCAAACGTGCTCCTTATGTGGACTCCGCTGATCCTGGGCATTCTAGGGATATTTGGGCATGTGCCTGGGCTAGGACCCAATATCCCAACAATAATCATATTTAAAAAATAATTTAACTTATACAAAAAATTGTAGAAAATTATATAAAAAAATTAAAATATTTTCTATTATTGATGAAATATGATTTGTATTAAATCAAGGCAATGGTAGAACCGTAGAATTGAAACGTAAGTTATCATCCTATTTTGGCAATTAAAGTTTCATTCAGTCCTATTTGGAAAATTCTCCCTTTATATTATTATTTTGCATGTGTGTATAATACTAATTTTTATGTAATTCATGAAACAGAATGAACTTTTTTAGCTTTAAAATATTAATCACGTGGACTTGAAAACATAAGGTAGACCAAACCTAAACAAAGGTTACAGCCTTGTCAAATACAAACACAATTTTTTACGTTAAATCAATAAAAAAAATGTGAATTGATAAAAAGGAAGAAAAGCTTAGATTCATTTGTAATTTATACTAAAGAGGAAGGAGGTGATTGAATTTTTAGTGTTTTTATGAAGAAAATTGAAAAAAATAACAGAGAAGAAACCAGAAATATCGATGTAGAAGAACATGCAGGGGCTTTTGAAAGAAAATGACGGCGTTAAATTTGCGCACGAGACATTATGCTTTAACGAATGTTACAGATAATTTAGAGCAAATGAAAAATCTGTAAACCCACAGAATGAATATAAAAGAAACTGTAGCTAAGAAAACAAATTTTATGACATACAGAGAGTATAAGTTGAAGTTGTATTATGACTGCGCACTCGGAACAACAAAAGGCAATGCTGTTGCCCAGAGAATGGAGGGATTTTTATACTTGAGCGGTGCCCTCAGTGAACTTGGGATCCTCACATCGGTACCTTCCATCAGGCCCTATTCCGAAACCCCTTGGATCTGCAAATACATTTTCAAGTAGCTGGCTACGAGCAGGCACGGGGCTTTTATCAGCGAACTCAACAGCCTCTTCAACCTCCTCTTCTATTTTTCTTTCAATACTCTTCAATTCTGCTTCGGTTGCAAGATTGTTATCAAACAAG